TTTTTAATAATACATCAGTAAGCCTTTCTTTGAGCCCATGAATAAAATGGTTTGAAGTGTAACCTTGACCAGTTGCTAATAATCTCAAAACCTCTGAAAAGATGGAATATATGTGTCTTTTCTTTTTCACTCTTGAAGCTCCTTTTAAAAATCCTTGATGCTGGTGTTTTTGGAAGCTCTGAAGATTTTGATCAGCCTAATTCTGACCAAAATATGCTGGTGAGACAGACACAAAAGCAACACTTGTATAAATTAGACCAGTGGCACTCAGCTCCTTGGAAGAAAACTGTGGAAGTTCCTCTTGTGGTACCACACAACAGTTCTTATGTTAAAAATTTGTCTGCATATGCTGTGGAAGAATTATGGACCCCAGAGAACATAAAATCAAATTTCAGGAACATCAACATGCCAAAGCACTTGGAATATAGTGATCTCCCAGGGAATGATTTGGAAGCAGAAAGCAAGAGGATGTATAATCAGGTATTTTTAAAGCACTAACTGTTAATTAACTTTAGTGTTCTGGAGGCTGAATCATATTAGCTAATATTTAATGTTATTCCAGGCAATTTGCTGCAGAATAATTCCAGTATAATAAATGTCCTTGCAGAGACTCCAGAGTTTTGCTAGAGTTCCACCATAAGCCCTTGGACACCTGACCCAGTGTCTGGTTTGGGTCTGTTCAGGGAAGGCCAAGTTCCATGGAAGGCTGGGGACTGGAATCCAGTTTTCCTGACTTCAGTGTCCTGCTGAGTTTGTTACAGGTTATATTTGATTTGAGCCATGAGTTGCTGCGTGCAGAATATCAAGTGACTGCAAAGCCAAATGTGTTCCCATGGATGGAAAAAGAAGTGGGATCTCCCTGTTCCAGGCATCTCTGCAGGACAGATGTCAGTGATGTCAAGGTATGTTCTGGCAATGTAAAATACAGGAACAAGAGCAAAAAGAGCAGAGATTGCAAAAAGAAATGTGACATTTGGGAGGATTATGGTAATGTAACTGAGGTGATGGGAGAAGGAACAGCATCACCCTGAATTGTCTGAACAAATTCAGACTGAACTGATTCACTGAAATGTTCCATATGTGTGGAGTTAAGAATGGGAATGGGCCTTTAAACTCTCTTAATTGTGGCTAATTTGTGTGTAATATTATGATTAAAATGTGTTGGTTGGCCAGTATTGATCAGCTGCCTCTAGATCAGTCCCCTGAACTTTGGGATGTTTCTGGACTTCAAGCTGCATCTTCACACTGGCACCTGTCACTCATCTGGAACACCAGAATTCTTATGAGGAGAGCTCTTTTCAGCCTTCTTTATTTTGTAGATGTTTGTTCAGGGTGAAATTATTAAAATAATGAACCTGGAAAAGAATGACTTAGAAATGAAAAGAAAATACCTAAATATGACCAAGTATGGAAACTGTAAGAGAGACAGAGTGGACCTTATTCTGGTAAGCAGAATTTCCAATGGGGATTTATTTCCTCTAGATTTAAACTAGAAATTCTCATCCTTTTGTGAGAATCACATTTACTTAAATTAACTTAATCAGAACTTCAAATTACTGCCTTTTAAAAGTTGAATTAATAATCCGGTATTTCTAGCTCTTGTGAGTGGTTTAAATTTTCAAAATTAATGATGCAGATGTAAAGCTGTTGGATTAGGTGCAGTATCTCAGTACTTTTGTGAAGCTCTTCTTTTTGAAGTAAAAATTTGTTTCCATGTTCTGTTTTAGATCCAGGAGCTCCGCAAAGAAGAATCTCAGTGGACTTCCTATGGTGATGATGAATTAACAGTGAAGATGAGGATGACTGAAGCCATATTTGATAGCTTGATCCTTGATACAATCAGAGTTCTTAATAAGATTTATCTGAAAAAAGCCTGTTGGAAAGGTGACAGTGCACCATCTTTTTTCCTTTAATACATTGTGGAACTGTTAAAAGGAGCCTGGAGATGGCTTCAGAGAGGTAGCACAGGGAATGGCAGGACCTGGAGCCAGACAATCAGGTTAAATGTCTATAATTTTATGCAAATGAAGTAAATACTAATGTGATGCACTTTAAATTGGAGATTTTTCTATCAGCACCTTCAATTCCTAACTAGATGTGTGCCTGTACTTGGGTTATTTATCATGCAATTCATTGAATTTTTTACAATATCCAAATGTGGGGTGCTGAGAATGTACTTTAATAGACAAAAGAGAGGAAATCAATACTCCTTTTGTATTGGCAAAACTGGAAAAATCAAGATTTTGACAAGGGAATAGAAGCATTTCCTCAGCGTGGTAATTGTTCCCTTTGCTAATTGCTGTGGTCCCACCTATTTCGTATTGAGAAAATCAAATTTTTGTTAGTACTTTTAAAAATAAATACTGTGCAAATATTTCTTACTGGAATTCAGAAACTGTTCATTATTGAATAATTGATTGTAAAGAGATCAGATTTTTTCCAATCCTATTCATTCAGAGTGTCTTTCAAATAAAATTAAAATCAGGATCAATAAAGATAAATTATAGATAAACTTAAGATTTAAAAATACAATACTTAAAATCTTCTTGGGGGAATAGAAAGACATTTTGTGTTTGTATTTTTAAACCCTGTTGGCTTAATTGTTTTTTGTACTTGTTTTCTGAATAAAATATGATACAAATGGCTTATTTTGTTTATTTATTTTCACTGAAATCAGTTAGAATTACAGATTATCTTATACACACTGCTCTTCTCACTAGTGAATGGGTACATTTTTGCTTTGTTTTGCTGGGCACATTAAACCCTCCCCTGCTTGTTGCCATATGAACAGAAATAAAAAGGCAACTTCTGCCCCCAGCGCCTTAACTGGTGATCTTATCCTATAAACTATTTTCATTTCTCTAGTGGTACATTTCCTTGTCTCTGACTTTATCCTCATTGATTAGTTAATCCACATAAGTTACTTGTTTTCTTGGTGTCAGTTTATAGCAGAATTTAACTCATTTTTTCTTCTCCTGGACTCGGAGTGTTGGATACAATGACAAATCTATAAATTGCAGCACTCTGACTCTTCAGTTTATTCTCACACTGGTTTTACAGCAGCAGGATCCCTGTGTTTGGAATGAAATCTATTAAAAATATCACTTTAGGTATGAATAAAGAGCTGAAGGACTTGTTTGATTTTAGCCTTATGTTCCACCTGAGGCAGAGACCCATCAGATTACAAAGAGGGTTGTGAGTGAAGCCTGAACCCTCACAGGCTGCTCTGCAGGGAAGGACACAGCTATAAACTATTCTGCTGATGAGAATAAAAAGTGTGTACACAGAACATGTCAGACATGTTTAATATCCCCCACCATTCTGTGTTCAAAACCTGAGATTCTGGCACCCAGATATATTGACCTGTTCACTCCGTGGCAAGGCTTCAATATCAAGATTACTCTCCTTCAAGGTCTAATATTTTGTTTGCCTTGGGTTTGATCAATATTAACCTCCTGGGTCAATAAATCTTGATACTAGCCTCAAGAGGAGTCATTATCTTTCATAGAAAATGATTATTTCTCAGTTAAACCCTACATTTAATTCTCCTGTAATCCATCTCTTTCATCTTCACACATTTAACAATTCTTCTAAATAAAATGTGCTCTAAAATATCTTGGGCACTGCAGATTTTTAAAATCCTAATTAACAGCTGCTACAAAGGTTTTTCAGTTATTGGAAGCTGTTGTAGCTCTGCTATTGTAACCATTTATTTTGTTGCTTGCTGTACCCAGAAAAAAATAGAGAGAACCCCAATGCTGGGATGTGATATGAGAAACCATTTAGGTCATGGATATGGGTCAAAAGATATGTGTCTGAACCATTTTAGATTTAATGGTCAAATAAAAGAGTCAGAAAAAGGCAAAAGTAGCAGAATTTTTCTCTTGTACTGTTTGTGGGTTGTTGGCCACAAACAATGATGAATTAAGTTCTAACCCTGAACTCCCGATGGGCCTGAAGTAAGAATTTAAACCCCTTTGTTCCCTACGTGTTCTTCAAGGATTAAAAGAAGTGTTTGTGAGCAACAGAAGCAAGAATTATCTTTTCAGAGACCTCAGTCTTTCATAATCTGAGTTTTTAAATCCTCTGAAACCCTTCTCTGGGGACGTTGTTGGGTCTCTGCTTCTCATTAAGATAATGAAAATTCTTCAGCCTGCATTTAGAAATAAAAGGAGATTTCCATAGTGGGCCAGAGGGAAAAGGTGCTAAAATCCATTTTAGTGCTCATCCTGAATTTATGGAAAGGACAGGACTTCTCTCAAACCACCTACACACAGCCTTTTATCAGAGCTTCAGTTTGAGGAGAAAGGCTCTTCCCTGCCGAGAGAGGCGCTTAGGGATGAAAGAGCTCCCGACCCAAAGGCTGCCCTGCTTTCATCTCTGCTCAGCCAGAAGACTCGTGAAGTCAAAACTTCTCTTTTTATATAAATTATCGCAAAAATTTGGCCACCGAGTGATCTCACAGAAGGAAGGGACCACAGTGCAAGCTCCTGGTCCAGCAGGGTTATCCCAGAGCACAGGATCGTGTCCGATGGCTCTGGAATATCTCCTGTGAGGGAGACTCCAAACCCTCTCTGGGCAACCTGTTCCTGTGCCTGGCCACTCTGGCGACGAGCGCTTTTCTAGCACTTGGAGCTTGTTGGTTGCTCTGTTTCACGGATTGAATCAAATATCAAAGAACACTCTTTTTTAATAAAAAATTATATGTTCCGTATTTTTCACGCTCAGAGGATACGGAGAGTCCTAGCTCCCCTCAGTGAAACCGGACGGTCCCTGCTTCCCTGAGGGACACGGACAGTCCCGTCAGGGACACGGACAATCCCCGCACCCCTCAGGGGACACGGGACACCTCCCGATCCCCTCAGGGGACACAGGACGGTCCCCTGAGGAACACGGACAATCCCGGCTCCTCCAAGGAACACGGGCTGCCCGCCGTTCCCCTCAGGAACGGGGACATCCCCGCCGCCCTCAGGCCGTGCCGCCATGGCCGGCGCGTTGCTATGGCGCGGCCCGCCCCGCCCCTCTCCGCGCGTCCCAACATGGCGGCGGCGGGCGGGGGCCGGCGGGCGCTGCTCCCGCTCCCGGGGCCGTCACTGGTGCTGTTCCCGGTGCTGTTCCCGGTGCTCCTCCTGGTGCTGCTGGCGGCCACCGCCACGGCGCGGCTGTACCGGCCCGGCCACGACCCGCTGACCGTGCTGACGGCCGGCTCCGTGCGGCCGGCGCTGCTCAACTCCTCGGCCGCCTGGGTGGTGCAGTTCTACAGCTCGTCCTGCGGCCACTGCATCGCCTTCGCGCCCACCTGGCGAGCGCTGGCGGGGGACGTCAAAGGTGAGGCTCGGAGCGGGTCACCGCGCACGGCCCCGCCGGCCCGGCGCTGTCCCGCGGCCCTTCGCGGCCTCCCGCGGTGCCCGGGGCCGGTGCAGGGCCGCGGCGGTGCCTGGCGGTGCCCGGGGCGCTGGGCTGGGGGACCGCGGGGCCTCGGTGTCACCTGTGGGCCATCCACGCGTGCCGAGGGTTGTGTGAGCTGCTGGGCCTTGGCGTGTGAGCTTCAGCCTCATCCCCTGCTCTGGAGTGTGAGCATCACCCTCATCCCCTGCTCTGGAATGTGAGCATCACCCTCATTCCCTGCTCTGGAATGTGAGCATCACCCTCATCCCCTGCTCTGGAATGTGAGCATCACCCTCATCCCCTGCTCTGGAGTGTGAGCATCACCCTCATCCCCTGCTCTGGTGCTGCCACACAGCCAAAATAGCACATGGGACAGAGCAAGGGGTGGATGGTGTTCCATCCACTTCCAAATTAAAGGTTTTGAAGGAATCCAGGCATAAAATATTACTTTGCGTGCACACAGCAGTGTGGTTTGCATGTAAGTGTCCCTGTGAACCCGAGGTTTGTTTACACTGAACTGCTGAAGGCACAATGTTGATCTTCTAAATGTTTTATAAAGAGAGCAGCTTGTTTCAGAAGATAAGCAAAAAATAATGTGGTACTGGAGAGGCCGTGCACACACTTGATTTATATCTTGCAAATTCAGTGTGGTGTGGATGGGCTCGAAGGGGGAAAAGAACCACCAGAAAGTAAAACAAAAATCAAGCAAAGTGAGAACCAGGTTTTCAGATTTATGAATTAGTGACTTTAAAAGTAATGGTGGCATCTATAACTTATGCTGAGGGACCTGCCTTGCTGTCTCTTAGCCTGGTCAGTTTTTTTGGCAAGTGCTGAAGAGTTTATTTGTAGATTTAAGGAAACAAACGGGCCCCTGAGGTATCAATTAAAGTTCAGTACTTCTGCTGGGGAGGAAACCTGAGATCAGATTTGTAGGAAATGTTATGCTTAATATAGCAGTGTAAAAGGCTTTTAAACTACTCTTAATTCACATTTCACCCAGGAGATGTTTCCAGGATGGATACAGCAGTTTTTAATGCACTTGTGGTTTCACTTTGAGAGGGACTGAAGAGCTCTGGCCATTCTGTGACACTCTGAAAAGCATTAACAGCTCACATGAAATGTAGGTGAAGTATTAGGTGTGCATTTAGATCTGTGGAAATGGAAACCCACCCTAAAACAGGTGCATCACACTCTGAGGAATTGTGATTGGTGAGCAAAAACTAAAAAGCAGAGAAACACAGAACTGTCATGGTTTTCAGAGCACTTCAAATGCTTCTTGCTTGCATGAAGGGTTTGTTTATAAACCAGTAACTTTCTTCTGTTTAATTTGCATAAGTTTATGTAACATTTTCTCTCCTGCTTTCATCTGCTCATGACCAGAATAATATTGGATCTTCTCCTTCTTTGAAGTGACAAGGAGGTCTTTGAGCACAGCAGTGGAGAGCATGAGGAGCCCAAACTGGCCAGAGCTTTGGTCAAAATAGGACAGGGATTTAGGCAGGATGACAGCAGTGTGATACCTTTGTGACTTGTAAAGACTTCTTCAAATACATGTTTTCATTCTCACCAGCAGACATGGTAACTGCAGATGCTGTCATGCACTTGTATCACTGCAATCAGGTGAAGGCCTCTCTCTCCTTTAATCCATTGAGTTTTTATGAAAACTTTCATTTAGAAAGTGGATTTTGAATGTTTGTGGACATTGGCACAACCAGCAAATGCTATTGGCTTTTGGTGTTATTTGTCAGCCAAATGTTTCCATTTTCAAGTTGGATGAATGGATTTTAGGAGACTGAGAACAGTCACACTTTTCATTGGTAGCTTCATCAAAGAAACCAAACCCAAAACATTTTGCCCACTTAATCTGTCTTAACATTTGTTTTTCAAAGATATTTACTCATCTGCTAGGATATTAAAGGATACCCTTGAGGTTGCAGATTTTATATTAGGGAACTCCTAGATCACTGGGGTCATGTTTGCTGATTTGGTATCCAAACAAAATCCAGTTAAATTGGTGCAACAGCTTTGTCCAAAAAGGCCTGTGCTAATAGGCATAATTTTAATTTTGTTTCTCATTTGTTAAGTCTTGGCAATACTACCATTGCAGCCTTCACAGCAGAACATAATCCTCCTGAAAAACAGGATCAGTGCTTGCTTTTGTGTAATTTATGTTTTTGTTTTGATACTCCCTCTCAGAACAGGCTTTAAGCTCAGTCAGTGCTGATGCTTTTCTAATCACACATTTCATTTTATTACAGCAGTGGCCAAAGTGGCCATTAGAGTTAATTATCCTTTTTCTGTCTAAAAGATGATTAAGTTTATCCAGCAAAATATATACGGGCTGGAATGATGTGTAGTAACAAACCCTTGGAAATCCCACATAGGACAACCTGTGAATTATACACAGAATAAGTTCACTCCTCAGGATTTGGAGTAACTGTCCAAATTTAGCAGGTTTTGTTTCAAATCCATAATAATGATTTCCTGCTTGAAACTGTTCTTTGAACACATTTGGTGGGGAACTGCAGTCACCTTGTCATGGTTCAGGAAACAGCCAAGTGTCAAAACAGGCAACTCTCAAGTAGCTGTGAGAGAGAGGTGCCTGTGATGAGCCTTTTGCCCCCCTGACTGAGACTTCCTGATGGAGAACAGCCAGGTTTATGGAAAGGAAGTGAATTCCTTGTAATTCTCTGGTCAATGCCTTGTGGCATTTCTCACGTGGGAGGTTTGACCCACCTGCAGGATTCCAGTTTGTCCAACACAGCCCTGTCATTCACTGGAGCTTGTTTAGCATAAACAGAGATTCTGTTGGTTAATGCATCCCTCATCTGCCTCTTTCCCATCGCTTGCGAGTCAGTATTTCAAAACCACTAATGCTAATTTGAAATTAATCAGCATTTTGAAAAAAGCCAGCCCAGCCTGCAGTGCCGCAGTAACTCCGGAGTGTCAGCTGTGCCCTCCAGCAGCTCGGGCACCCCTTGGAAAGGAGCAGCTCCGTTTCCAGCAGCAGGAATGCTAAGCAGCACATCCCAGCTGGTGCTCTTTAACCCGGGTGTTTAGCTGGGGTGGGGCTGCTTTGTTGTGCGGGGTTATTTGCATTGAGTTCAGAGAGCTCCCATTCATGGCGTGGAGGAGGATCCAGACAGGTGGAAAAAGGAGGAGGAGTGGTGAAAGTTGAATGAAGGAGATAACCAGAAGCCAAACTTTTCTTTTGTGTTTTGCGTTTTATTTGATGAAATGGGCTGTTGTGTCCTTTGTGCTGCTGTGAATGGGTGCCCATCTGCTCCAGCGTGTTTGAGAGCTCTCCTGGTGCCCGCTCAGCTCTTGGCATGTTCAGCACAAACCTCTCCATCAGCTGCCCTGGCCTCCTCCAAACACAAGTAAAGGTCAAGCTAAATTTCACAGACCAGAACCGTCCATCAGCTCTTGAACTTGATGAAGCTGTCATGCTCTTTGCTGTAAAAGCAAGTTTAATTTTAGTGCTTTTTAAATTTTATTGGGAATTGTGGGGGACCTTCAAATTCTGCCCACGGCGGGTTTGATTTAACTTTGCTTTAAAAAGCAGCTGTCTAAGATTTCTCTTGGAGTGGTTCTTCCTTAAAGTGATTGCTGCAGCAGAGGCTGGCTCAAAAAGATAAATTCCCAGCAAAAAGAGAAGGAAAAAGCTGTAAGTTAGTTGAAAGCTTTTATTGAAGTTATATAAGCATATTTATGGAAATCCTTGAACTCTTGTGGCTATTGCTATAAAGGAAAGTCAGAGTGATGCTCAAACTCAACTATTACGCACTCTGCTTAAACTCTGGTATTTTGGGGGGTATAACTAAGGCATTTCTGAACAATACTGCCAGATAAATGCAGCTTTCAGCAGACACTACAATGAGCTGGAGTTGTTTGTAATTCTGAGGCCTCTCAGAAAACTGTAAGTTGGAGAAAAAGCAGCTTGTTAAAAAAACTCTAATACAAGGTGCATCAAATTTATGGGTTTGTAATTGACATCCATGTGGATGAGTAACTGCTGGATGAATTTTATTCAGTTATATACATTCTGCATGCTCTATTTTATGAGCACAGCTAATGGGAAAAGCTGAGGAATTCAATCCAGTTCCTTGCAAGTGTTGGATTGGCCCTGATTTCATCTTCCTGGATTCACCCCTGGAACTGCTGCATTGTGTGCTGGGATTCCTCTTGTTCAGGTGCATGGAAAACACTGATGCAGCCAAGAAAAACAGGGAGGTTTTAGTTATTTTAAAAATCAGTAGATTGTGTTACACTGGGGGATGGAAATGAATGGCAAATGAGAATCGACCCAGGGCTGGATTTTTATGCCACTGGAATCTCTCAGAGTCCTGCTGCTGGTTTCCATGGGAAGCAAGGTAATTCATCAGCTGGGATCCGTGGTCTCTCCTGCTGAAAATTGAAAGATATCTTTGTTTGCAGACTGGGAATCTGCAATTAGAGTTGGAGTGCTGGACTGTGGGGAAGAAGGGAACTATGAGACGTGCAAAGAATATGGGATTCACTATTACCCAACTCTTAGGGTAAGTGCAGAACATCCTGCCTTAGGCAGACGATGCATGTTTTCTAGTAATTAAACTGTGTCACTCATTGTTCTGTAGCTTTCTTTGCTTTGCTAAGAAAATTGCAGAGTTGATAAAATATTAATTTGGTGGGGGTTTTGTGAATGCAAGAGCTGATGTAGCTGTTTTGAGCAGTTATTCAGTTCTGAATCTGAAAAATTCTTATTGAGAGAAGAGATCATTCTGTAAAGTATCATCTTATCACATGAATATAATCCCTAGTTTCACCAGATTTATTAGATAATAACCATTTGTATAAATATTTTTCAAATTCCGCTGTTATGGGATTATTAATAATGTTTTTTGTTTTGGTGTATGAAAGTAAAGGGAGCACATTGGAACTGCCACATGAAAACAGCTGATTGCATGACCAATTAAAAATTTACCTTTGATAGATCCTTCGCTATTTTTGCGATTAACTTAATATTTTTCATCATAAAATACTTAAACTGCATTTTAAAGAGGATGCCACGTTAGCCAAAAGTATCTGCCATTGTTCATTTTTATGCAATTTTTACCTTCTCTGTCAGTCTGTGTTAATCACATTATTAAGTATGAGCAGAATGTGGTGGATGGAGAAGGTTGAATAATCTGTTTGTAATGACAGGAGAGGGAACAGGAGACATTTCAATGTAGCATTTGTGATCTTTCACCCTGATGGTAAAAGCAATATTTTTATTTTCTTTCACTCTCCAAAGTTTTAGGTGTAAATTGTGTTATCCTCTTTATTAAACGCAGAATCTTTTCCATGTTATTTTTTGTAGCAGAAGGCAGCTAAGCTCCCTTAGATCTCCTGTTTAGCCACTGGAGGGAGTTGGGAAAATGTGAATAGTGTTCCAAGTGCACACACAGTTGGTAGCACAGATTTGGTGATCAGTTCATTTGTTAATGGTTGCAGTGCAGGATCAATACACACCATTGAATTATGCATTAAGGGATTTTTCCTCTTGCCCTCAGGTAGGTGAGAAGCAGCTTTTTGGAACTCATAGGTTAAGGGGGAAAACTGTCTCCTGAGCAGATAAATAAAAATGTTTTGAAGTTAGATCTGTAAAAGTAAAAACACTTGAAAGCCTTTTTAATTCCTAAACTGGGCTTTTTTGTCTGATACAGTGACTTTTCTTTTCTCCCACACAGTACTTCAAAGCATTTACAAAGCATTTCACAACTGGAGAAAATTACCAAGGTAAGAACATTTTACTGTGAGAAATTCCCAGAGCAGTTTTCCTGTCAGCCAGGGCTGTGTCACACAACCAGCAAAATCCTGTCAGTTCCTTTGGGCAGGGATGGAGTGGACACTAAATACCTCTTGAAGACAGAATATTTCAAGTACTCTACAAAGTGTTAATCAGCATTTTAGGCAGGCAAAACATTTCTCCAAGAAACTTAGGAATCACATTCCTTTTTTTTTATGCAGCTCCTAATTTTCACAAATGGCTTGTAATTTTTTTTTAATCCCTTTTCTTCCTACCACACTCCTCATCAGCACGAGATCCAATTTACTCAATCCTGACTTTTGATCCCTCAGCCATTTTCCAGGCATCCTGAGTTGCACTGGGAGAGCCTCTATTCAGATGGTGACTCCCTGAAAATAGGCTTATCCCAGGGTTTGTCAGGATCACAGCTTGAGGTAGTTTGTCTGGGACAAAAGTAATGTTGTCCCTTTCCATGGATGAACATTTAAAAGGCCAGAGGTCAGAGGAGAGACCACCTGCACCATTAACCCTTCCTGTACAAGGGAACCTTAGTTTTACCTCTTGGGCATTTGAAGTATTTTCTGCTTTTTAATGTGGTTCTTTTAAAGCAAATAAAATATTTTCACACTTCAGTTATTTCCTCCTCTTGTTCCATGGCTTTATGGCCTCTCCATTTGGTAGGAATAATATACCCTGGCAGATTTTAATTTGTGGTTATTATCCTGCTGCAGTTGCCCACAGCAACTACTGTGAAAATGTTCACATTGAGAAGTTGTTTGGAGAGAAAATGAGCAGGGCAGGCAGATGGATACATTTGGAAAAGTCTTGAAGTTTTATTAATTTTAGGGTGGGATGACAGCTTTTAAATATGATCTCACAGCAACATTAAAATGAAATCCTACGCCCAAATCCTTAGTTCCTTTTCTTCAGCCAAATAGTATGCTGAGTTTTAAGTCTGAATTTAAAGGAAAAACCTGACTCAGAAAAGCATGCACAGCAAACCTTCATGTGAGTCATTTTTCCCCAGTTTTCTGAAGGGTTGTGTTTTTTTGGAACCTGTTCTCAGCAGGAGGAGATCGGGAGCTGCAAACACTTCGTCAGATGATGATTGACTTCCTGCAGAACCATTCCCAGGAGCTGAGACCTCCTGCTTGCCCACCACTGGATCCAGTGCTGTAAGTTCCTTGTTTTCAAATGTAGCTGCTCTCTATTTACTCAGTTAAATAGACTGTGAAAGATTAAAAATCTTTAAAAGTGTTTGTTTTGGTTTTTTTTTTAAACACGACTTCTGCTATGAGATTGTAAAAGGAAATTCCATGAGTAACAGTGGGTGTATTGCATTCTGTGCTGAATTCCTTTTCTTTTCCTCAAAGGTCCAGTGATCTCCCATCTCTTTTTGACAAGAACAGCCACCACTACACAGCCATTGTGTTTGAGAGCAACAGCTCCTACGTGGGCCGAGAGGTAACGTGGGACTTGTGAGGGACAGAGTGGCTGTGACTGGATGTCACCATAAACCAGCTGGATTTGAGCTCATTTAGCCAAGCAACAGCTCCCTGAATGCAGCACTAGAGCAGCTCACACGTGTTTGGGGGATGATAAAACCCAGGGATTTTATAGGGCTCTGGTGTTCACTCACACAGAGGAACTTGCTTACAAAAGAATGTGATGTCATACTGACTTTTCTTTCATTCTTATTTTAGTAGAAGGTTAATTTATCAGTTTCGTTCTCAGCACAATTTTCTTTCAAGACTTTGAAAGATCACAACAAAAATATTGCCAGATTACATTATTGTTTTGTTACTACTGGCGAACCATTTTTATTACTCATTCTTCTGGACAACTGTTTGTAATAATCTGTGCTCTCCAGTTCCCTTTCTTCACATATAAATTTTGGGAAATTAAGTTGATAGCATAAAATTATTTACCCAGTTCAGAAACACAGAGGAAGTGGAGGTCTTTAGGTTTTGTTTCCCAATAAAATATTTGATTGGGCACCATTTCCCCTGGCCAGTGTCATGAGTGGAGGAGGCTGTGCTGCCAAGAGTGGGAATCACTTTGGGATCAGGCTCCTTCCAGGCATTTGTGTTCTGGGAGCTGCTGTGGTGATGCAAGTGGGCATTACTGAAGAAATGTGAAGGTTGTAAAGTTCCTCAGCTTTTTATCACACTGTTTTTATTATCTACAGTTAGAGGGGAAGACAGAGTCATTTGATTAACACAAAGTGGAGTGTGCTTTCAGGATAAAAAATGTTTGTTAGTGTTATGTAGTATTTGAGCTTTATGGAGTAGATTAGTGAAACAGAAAATAGCATTGTTTTCATGTTTACAACACAAGACAAAATGGACAAACCTTCCCATACTGCTGAAGAAAAGGAGGCCATGTGTCATCACTGATGGAAGGAAGGAGGAAAAGAACAGAATAGACCAAGAAAAACTAAAATTAAAAAAAAGGAAAATAGGAGTAATAATTTCTAGAGAAGACTAAATCTTCTTTAAGTGAAATTGTTTCTGTGCACAGAGTAGCCATAGCTGAACTTCCTGCAAACAGCATAATGATGCCCTTAAAGGATGATGCACTTCACCTCTTTATGTGTCTTGTCCTGCAAGATTGGCTGTTCCTTGAACAATGTATAATTCATGGCATCCTCTCGTTACCCAGGTTATCTTAGACTTGATCCAGTATGAAAACATCGTGGTGAGGAGAGCCCTGAATGTTGATAAACCTTTCCTGGAGAAGCTGGGGGTCACCTCAGTCCCCTCATGCTACCTGATACAGCCGAATGGCAGCCATGGATTAATTAACAAGTAAGTAATTATCTGTCTGAGGATTATGGGGACGTTCACTTAACTTATAAAAATGTCAGGATTTGATGTCCTGACACCTCATCAATACATTATAGTGCCTGAACTTGTGTGTTCCCTATATTATCAATAAAAGAACTAATACTACTTTTACTTGTCACTGGTGCCTGTTAATAACTTCAATTTATTACTGTGATACTTCTCAAAGGAATAAAACTTTGGAATAAAAGTGGAAAAAATAAATGAAGCTTCAAAGTTCTTAAGAAAACCCATTTCTTGTGTAACGTGAACTGACATTTGGATAAACATTTGTTATTTTGTTGTTATTTTGAATGGAATTTCACACCCCTAACCCAAGTGATTTGTTTTTCATAAATTGAACATTATTTCATTTCACTTTGTATCAAAACAGGCCATGCTGCTAGGACTGTAAAACATAAATTAAAGTGAATATCTTATTTTACAAATAGAGTTATTTGCTTTTTTGGACATTCACTTAGTCTGAGATTAAAAGTGGTCTCTCTTTGTCCATTTGCAGTTTGAAGCCTCTACGGTCTTTCTTTTCTTCATATTTAAAGTCACTGCCAGGTGTAAGGAAAAAACTCCTTTTGCCACTGCAGCTTCCTGCTCCAGAAAATAAAGAGGAGAGCACAGAAATCAAGGTGTGGAAAGAGTTTGATAAGTAAGTGATGCCCTTGATTTTTATAATTGGTTATTAAAAATTACCTGCAGCCTTTTCCTGCCATGTGAGAGGCTGTGCTGTAATTTATTATAAAATCCTAGAGCAGTTCCATATTTTACTTCATTTCACTCCAGTTCAATCGTGAACAGCTTTTCAAACAATTCAAGGTGAAATTACTGAGGTATTTTGGTTTTAGCAGCAAATGTCTGCACTGCTCTGGAAGGAATGCTTTTACCAGAAGTGTTGTGAAATATTCAATTACCTTGAAAATACCAAGGACTTATCACCCACTACCTGAAAGCAGTGATCAGTGTCCCTGAAAAAATACAGGGTAAAATACCAAGCTGTAACATTTCTGTAGGAGATTCTCTGTGTGTGCAGTAGTGAAACAGTCCCCACTGAAAAGGGCTTGTCAAATGCAAGTATAACAGAAAATACTAAAGTCACTGTAAAAGATGTTTATCACCCCAAATCCCCTGAGGTTTATCTTCACCCTCTTTGCCTCTGTGAGAGAAGGATGCAAAGCCTTTGCAGAGAGATAATCCCTCAGCATCTTTAGATGGAAAAGATGTGGGACTGAGTGCTTTAATATAATACTTATTTTCCTTTCATGGACACTATTAGTGTCATCTTCTTTCAGTGCCTATTATAAAATACTTTATATGGAACATTCAGTTAGCAAAACAACTTAGTTAAATTGAGCTGCTTTCCAGCAAGGCAAAATCTTGTGGACATGAATCTTCACCCCAAGTATCTTCTAAATAGGATCCTTTTGGAGAGCCTCCTGCATTCATGTGGATGTCTCTTTATTTAACAAACTTGAAGCAGAATTTTGCTGTTTTTTATAATTTAAGTGAGTACTTTATTAATTAAGGAGATAAATTCAGAATATGTCTGTGGCTTAAATTAAATTATAGGTGTAATATATATGATTATAGATGATTCTGTCTTTTAATGTGTTCTTTTCTGCATGTTATTTAGGAGGTGGGAGCAGCCAGTTTTTTCAATGTTTGTTTTTTAATTCTGTTTTTTTAGCAAGAGCAATGCTGCTGAACTCTTACAAGAAGTGTGAGCTCTCTGAACTTCTGTTTGTTCAGTTCCATTGCTCTGTCTCACACTGCCTGAAAAGCACTGAAAGCTGGGGCTGTGTGCCTGCTGCATTTGTACTTTGTAAAGCAGGTTTAGTTATGAAGATATTTCATTGTGAGAAAGAACTTGGGAAATGTTTTATTTGGTTTATATGGTTTACTTGTACCTGTCAGAACTCTTGTCTTAAGAGGTGCTGTGTTTTAACTGGGAGATGAAGGACCTGCAGCAAAACTGCTGCATTTGGGAAGGATTTCTAATCCAGTCCTTCCCAACAGTGACATTTCCAGTCCTGTTTGCACCCCTGCCCTGTGTGTTGTTCAGAGATGTCCTGTTCCTGTTTGTGGTCAGCACAGCAGAGGAGCTGTAATTCCCTTACACCAGGGCTGTAATTTCATTACAAGGTAAAGCTGGCTGGGAAGCAAAAAGTTCAGTCAAATATAAAAAAAAAAACTTTCTCCATGTTGTGCAGTGCTTCAGTTGTCCAAACTCTGCCTGTGCCCCTCAGGCTGGGAGGACTCTGCCATCCCTAGGGGGCTTCAATGCCACCCCTCTCTGAGTTGGAGCTGGGTGAGAGGGGAGGGAAGGAGGGGCAGGAGCTGCCAGGATTGATGTGTGTTCCAGGTCCAGGCTCTACATGGCTGACCTTGAGTCAGGATTGCATTTCCTGCTCCGGGTGGAGCTGGCCACGCACAAGGCACTCGAGGGGGCTGAGCTGAAAACCTTCAAGGACTTTGTCACCATCTCTGCCAAGGTAGGCGCCTCTGGGCTGTGATTGGGAACATGAAGTGACTCCACCAGAAAATTTATCGTGGGACATAAGTCTCTCAAAATGTCTTGCACAGTGTTCGAGTGTGTGCATCCTCAGTAGCTTAAAAAAGAGGCTGCTGGGTTTATTGAAATGATATTTTTGAGGTCTTGTTTGCTGTTCTGACATACTTGCAGGGTTAAAATGCAATTTAATTTCACCTTAGGGGGCTCAAAATTAAATAAAGCTTAAGTAGTCTGCAACATATTGAACAAACACTGTAAATATAGTCCATTTATCAGATTTTCAGGATAAGTAGCTATTGTTACTCAGTGGGATTAAACCAACCTTTGTTTTTCATTCTTGACTTTTGAATTTCATTAATGCATACTTGGCAAATGCTGTTCTATTTGGAGATGTTAGAAGCTTCTGTCTGAATTTTGAATATAATTGAGGGACTGATTTTGATTAAATAGGTATTCAAAAATAACTAAGCTATTGAATATAATTGAGTATTTAAAAATTTAAAATGCTTATGTGTTACATTTGCATAAAAAGAAAATACATATAATGTGATATGAATTGAAAAAATTTTAAATCATTATAATGCCAGCTTCCTGAAATGACCAATATATTTTTATTTTTACTCCCTGTGTAGCTAATACTGTTTTATTTTTTAAAAGTGAATCAATAACTCTTAATTCTTATTCTTAAGGGAATAATAAGGCCTATATGAACCATTTCCAAATATCTGGGTTTATCTGAAAATCAGACAGACAGCTCCTTACCCAGCCAGCTCCCCCCTGCAGCCACCAGGGGCCAGAAATCTGCAGCTGGCCTCATTTCTTTAAGAAAGTGTGGTGCTAATCTTCCCATCATATTATCCCCAGAGCATCCTCTGCTCTTCCCTGTGGTTCCTACCCAGCTGAGGTCATTTTGTTCCCTGGCTGTTGATGATAAATGGGGAATGTTCTCTTCTAGGTGCCTGCACATCTCCCCCTGCCCTGTCCCACCAGGGGTTGCCATCCTTTATTTGCATTTTTTTTGTCATGTAACACTTTCCTCACTTCTCTCATTCATATTTTCAGGTGTTTCTGTTAGGAATTCTTTTATATTCTTCTCCTGTTTGTGGTGATGGTCAATCCAAAGGCACAGAGATCTCTGATTTCTTCCTGGGGAATTTTCATGACTGAAATCCTGCTCTCTCTAAAAGGATCCTAAAGAATGACAGATACTTGACTTAATTCTCTAATAATTCCAACCCTCATTAAAGCAAAATAGCATTTCTGCTATGAAATAGCAGAAATCTGCCATAATCTGTAAAATAATGGCCTTACCACTGATTTTCAGTTCTTCACACTCATCTGCCAGGCTGTGGCTCCTGTAAGTTCTGATTCCAGATCCCTTTGGAAATCACTGTTACACATGAAAGGAAAATGTTCTTCTGGATAACAGCTCCTAAACTGACAGAAATCTGACTGAAAATAGCTGATTTTTGTGATTGATCTTCCAAAAATGAGAAGGATTTCAGCCCTCTGTTTCACTGAGGTGTTGTATTCTGTTTTGAGCAACATTCTGAACTGAATTACCTTAATGTGAAATCCTAGGTAATGTCAAGTTGTTCTGTAGCATTCCGGCCTGCTAAAAACTTTAAAATTTTAAAAACTTTTAACATTTTGCGCAAAAAAACTTATTGAATTTTGTAAGCGAAATCTGGTGTGAGATGGCTTTTTCCTGCAAGCATAACAAGTAATTAATTTGCTCATCAGAAAACAGAATGAAGCATTTTACAGACAGCAAAAACATTGGGATAAAACCAAAAGCGTCTCATTGCTAATGAGATTTGTGCTTGAAAATGGTTTTTTCATAGTTTGTTTTTTTATTTTTCTCAGCTTTTTCCTGGCCGTCAGCCTGTGGTGAAGTTGTTAGAGACCTTGCAGGAGTGGCTGGTGAGCCTTCCATTAGACAAAATCCCTTATGATGCTATCCTGGATCTGGTCAACAACAAAATGCGGGTAAGCTGTTCCCAGTTCCAGCATAAAACAGGGCATTAGGAAAGGATAAGATTCTATATCAATCTCAGCCATCACTTACTGCTGCTCCCCCAGTCATAATGCACTTATAAGAAGGTTAACATGGAAATAAAGTGAAATCATTAGCAGAAAAAAACAACCCACATCCACACAAAGAAATTGAAATGAGAGAATTGAAACATTCAATCCTGGCTGGGTTTTATAATGAGCAAGCAATACTTGTTCCCTAATGTCATCCCCAGGGATGCAAGATTCCCAGAGGATATTTCTGACTTTGCTGTGCCTGCTGTCAGCAGGATTCTCTTGAAGGTCAGAGTTTAAGTGATGGGAAATTTTCCCACTGAAATGTGCATTATTCCTGAAGAGTTTCCCCAAATACTCTCTAATTTCCCTGCTGGAATCCCAGCCCACTTTGGCAAAGCCCTGCCAGAGGGTTGTTTTTGCACAGAACTTCACAATTTCTTTGTGATTTCTGCCTGAATTTTGAAAGCCTTCTGTGTGTTTTAGGAAGAGGAGAGAAAAGTCTCAGAAACTAAAATCTTGCACTGGATTTCAGGTGTAATTAATAAGGAGTGCCTTTGTTACAAGAAGAAATAATATGGAATTTTACAGCCAGTTAAGGCTTTACTCTGTAAACTTTGTGGAGTAATAGGGAATCTTGGATGTGCCCAGGGGAGCTCTGTCAATGTACAGGAATATTTTCATGTGTTGTATTCTTAAAAAAAAATAAAAATCTTCAAAGGTTAAACTACTTTGTGTGTTCTGTCAGACTGATTTTAGTAGGTTTTGATGTCAATGACTGAACAATTTGTATCTTGTCCAAAAGGGATGAGTTTTATAGTGATGCTTCAGAGTATCTCAGACATGAGGGTTTGTGTTTGCCTGAAGCATGAACTGATTACCAAGTGCAGAAAGCCATTTGTTGTTCTTTACCCTGGATCACTCAGTTCCACGTGGGATCAGCAGTGCTGCCACTCTCAGTGATACATTTAGACCCCAGAGCAGCACATACCTTAAATACATCTCTTTTTTTTGCAGATTTCTGGGATATTTCTCCCCAGGAAAGTGCAGTGGGTTGGCTGCCAGGGCAGCAGACCAGAGCTGAGGGGCTACAGCTGCTCCCTCTGGAAGCTGTTCCATACCCTCACTGTTCAGGCTGCACTGAGACCAAAAGCTTTGCTAAACACAGGTGAGCAGCAAATAATTTTTGGTGTGTAAATCCTCAAGGAATCAGTTTGTGGAGGAGAGTGGCTGCAAGGCTGCACCAGCAGGGGTCAGAGCTTGGCTGCAGCAGGAAGGTTTGGAAGTGTGCTAAATAAAGTGTGTGGCCCTAAAGCTGGGAGTAATAAAGCAGAAAAAGGAAAAAAAAGAAAGAGAATTTCAAGCAAAGAAATGTTGAGCTCCCTGAAAAGGGATGAAAATGATTCAGGTTACCTGAGGTTGCACTGGGAATGAAATTTGTGGAAAATTAGGTTTAAGCATACAGTTTAGTAGCTATAAAAGATGTACAACCATTAGCTGATCCTTCTGTAATGTTATTTCTTAAATACTGCATGTTGCAACTTTTTGGTTTATTTTTTTTCCAGCTGAATGTACCTGTCATTAATCCCTGCAGTGATTTACAGCTTTGCCAGCACTCTGTAAAATTGCTCATTTTTAGACTGGCAGCATCTTGTGAAGCTGAGTGTTAATATTCTGGTGATGATTCCTGTTTAAGAAACATGCTGGTTATAAAACCTATTCTCCTCACCCAATGAAAATAGAATCACTAATGCTAAAAGTTTGGGTTTTATTCTTGCCAGGACAGTGCTTTGTTTGGTTACAATTCTATTTCATTTTCATTTAAAGCATTTTAAATGTCTTTTCCAAGGAATATGAGAATTCTACATGGACATCATAAACCTCAGAAATTTTCAATTTACCATTTGTTGATTGTATGTTTTAAAGGATTTTATTATTTCACATTATAGATCCATGCATTTGTCCAGCATTATTTGCAGTCAGAGTGAAAATCCTTCAAATCTGAATAATTCTCCTGCAGAACAGGCATTTTTTATTGCAAATCATTCTGTTGTTGATTTTTGTTTCACTGTTTTGTTTGTTTTTCATGGGGCAGTAGATTGAATTTCTGCAATTTAGTGCAGTGAGTTTGAGGGGTTTGTGCTGGAGGATTTTGAGCTGTTCAGCAGGATCCTGCATAACTTAAATTTCCCCTTTTTAGTCCCAAAGTGTTCTGATCAAGTCTATTAATTCTTAATATTTAACTACACAAAATTTCCCCTCAAATTGTGTGTTTCAGGCACGAGCCTGAAGTTAAAAATAACATTGTAGGACCTGAGAACTCTTTGGCACAGTTAACCCTGGCTGTAAATCGGGCCAGATATGTGATGATCACTTCTTATGGTGAAAGAATTGGGTCAGTCTGAGACTGTGGGATTATGTCTTGGGAGGTTTTCCTCTCCTTATTGCTTGTTTAAATCCCATCTACTAAAAAGCATGATGTACTCCCTAATCCTTCCCACCACAGGTAGGGTTTTATGGTTCTTGTCCACTTTAAAGATTAGGGTTACCCTGAATTGCAGTAGTTTGGGAGGAAAGAAAAAAGGAGGATTACACAATGATACATGGCAGATGTTAACAGAAGATTCATCTCGGGGCTGATAAAAGAAAAACAACCAAAATGAGCCATTTTGCAATTGTTTGCTTTCTGAAGCAGATGGATTTCTCCTGGTCGTGGCCTCTGCTCGAGGGCCTGGCACTCTGGGTGAACTCCCTGTGGCTGGCTTGATAAAATGATTTTATTGGGTTATGTTTGATACATTTTAATATAGGAAATAGGAATAGGAAAGGAAATAGGACAGGAAAATCTGAACCTGCAGTGGGAGTAACAGGAGGGATCCAAAGGAACTCAGGACTCACAGCCAGGGATGTGTAAAATCATTGTAGAAATCATTTCCTGAGCACACTTCATGACAAGAAATGTGGTTTTAGGTAACAGGATGTCTTGGTGTGAATAGAACAGGACTGTGGATTTTATAATAAATTATCTGGCATTTAAATCTAGTGCTGAATTTGACAGATTTCCCCACAGAATGAATTTTCAAGTGTGTAACATTGCACAGGAGATCAGATGAAATTAAATTTGTGTATGAATCTCTTGTATCTCCACAAAGAAATAATTTGCTGGTTGTGTTTATTGTTTTTCCTAAATACATATTTCAGTATAAATGGTAAAACTGTTCTGCTTGAAATTCATTTAACTTCCAAAATAATTTCCCAGCCTTCCTTTTAATGCAGTAATTTAATCTGCTTTAATCTCATACCTTTTATTTATACATGTCTGTTCAATCACAGACATTGAATGACTGAGGAGAAATCAGAGTTTTTTTAGTATTTCTTTTGCTTTAAATACTTCTTTTTGCTGCTCTGTTTAAGAATATCCTGTTGTCATTCTAAATAAAGCAGTCTTTATATATTTCCCATATCTATAACAGATGAGTGCTCTGATAGTTTGAGCAGGTTTTGTTGATTTTTTTCCCAAGAAAACAAAGCAATAGTAAATTATTCGTGGTGTTCAGCAGCAGGAGTCTGTAATTTGATCAATCTGCACCATAAAATGTGTTTAATTTGACAAGTGTGTGCTCGTGGTAACACACAGGACATTTTTAAATACATTTTGACATAATTTACTGGGTCAATTAAGCATGAATCAGAAATTCTGTGCGACAGAGATGAAACCATTAGGATTTCAACAAATTATATCAGGTTTTCAAGGCACTTAGAGATGTGAGGAGCTGCCTGCTGACACAAGAGAGGCCACAAAGTTCTCAACCTGTGCAGGCCTCATCTTCCTGCACAATTCATTATTCTTTTGCATTATCTTTAGTGTGGAAATGTGAATGTTACAAAAAGAATCACGTGTTTGTGTTTATTTTAGGAGGAATTGCTGATTTATTCTCCAGCAGCTGCTCTGTGCATTCAGAGCCTGCCAAAAAAGCCTTGGAATTAATAATTCTAATGAGATTTTGGTGCTCTCTAATTCCTCAGGATTGAGGAGTAACAAACAGCCCTCACAGGCACCTTGTGCAGGACTCACCAAGAGGGGGTTTGACGCCTGATTTTTCAGTAGCAAAGTCACCATAACTTCAGTGCCTGGCCATGAATATAGAGGTGAAGGCATAATATAAACATTCATTTACATATTGGGCAAGAACTTGGAGAAAATCTCCAATTCCACAGGAGCTGTGACATACACCAAGTGTGAATTTTGTATATTTTAACAATTTCACAATGTTCTCTGATAAAAATAATGTCTGGATTTCATTAAGTTTGGTTTTCCCCTGAAATTTTAAGATACTCTGAAAGGAGAAGTTCCTCTGTGGAGACCACTTGACTTTTATTTGGTGGTGGGTAGCTTTGAGCACAGTTGTACAGGCTGAAGTGGTTCAAACAGCCACTTCAAATTGCAAAAGTGATTAATTCCAGATTCATTCCAGCTCAGGTGTCAATTCTATGCAACAAGAAGGGAGCAACTTTTCCTTTCCTCCTTCCCCTTCCCTTCCCTGCTGCTGGAGCTGAGTCTGTCCCTTGTCTTGCAGGCCTTGAGGACAACCCCCAAATCGTGCTGCAGGTGATGAGGAGATACATCCAGCACTTCTTTGGGTGCAAGGCTTGTGCTCAGCACTTCGAGGAGATGGCCAAGGAATCCATGGATTCTGTGAAAAGCTTGGACCAGGCTGTTCTGTGGCTCTGGGAGAAGCACAACGTGGTCAACAACAGGCTGGCAGGTAGGGGGGAGAAACTCAGGAACCAGGGCTGGTAGAGAATGAAAAACAACATTATCAGAGATAGTTTCTTCTGAGATTTCACCTGTTGGTTTCTTCTGAGGTTTCACCTGTTGGTTTCTTCTGAGGTTTCACCTGTTGCTTGGTGAGGCTCTTTCTGGAGCACAAATCTAAGAAGCAATTCAGCTGCTTAGAAGTGGATAAAAAAATAATTGCATTTTTTTTCTGTAGCAGTTTAGGGTTAAAACCTGCCTTTGTTTTGTTTTGGAAAATGATGGCAATTGAACAAGGGGCTTCCTCAGGATAAAAGAGCCTCAACTCTTGGCAGATCAGCAGCTGAATAAAATAAAATTACTGTATAAAGGAAATCTGTGCCCCCTCCAGATCCCTGTGTTTTCAGTTGAAAGTGCTGTTAAAATACTGGTTGTGTTTAATCCATTCTGTTATGGAGGTATCAAGTAACTAAAGCACTAAAGAAAATTGGTTTCTCTTTGCACTAAATCCCTGTCTGCTGTTATGGATCTGGGTAATGCAGCATTAGTTACAATTTCAATATGCTACATTGTGTTCATATTGTGCTCCTGCTGCATTCCCAAGATTTATGAAGAATTAAATACTGGTGTGAGTACAAACAGTTTGCCTCCTTTCTCTGAGGAGAAAAAAGGTAAATAATAAGAGATTAAATAAAAACATCCTCTAATTTTGGCTCCTGTAACAGGCAACTCCTGTGGATTTGGAGTGGCCAAGTGTGGAGCAATGCACTTATTTAGAACATTAAGGTATTGGAAAACTCACATGGATATTGATTTAGGTGATGCAGCAGCCAGCTAAAATACCCTTTTAGTAAGAAGTATAAACACACTGGAATAAATAATAATGTTAAATTACGCTTTTTCAGTTTGCTAAAATTTCTCTGTGGGACAGTGATGTATTTTCACCCTTAAAAGCTGCATCTGTGTTTGTGGTGCTGTGTGAGAAATGATGTTTGGTCAGTGCAAACACCTTGGGGTGGGGGTCAGGAGGGGCCTGGATGTGGCTCTGCCCTGTTGAATTATTCCCTGTTCCTTTGGAATGCACAGGATTTACAGCATTCCCCTCTTTGGCAGGAAAACACAAAGTACAGGGAGTTTTCTGTTTGTAACCTTGCTGTAACACATTTTGTTTCTGCATTTTTATTGAAACAAATTGATTACTGAGTGATCCTTAGGATAAAAAAGCCAATTTGCTCTTGTGCTCGTAAATATCAAGGAGACAAATATTTTAAAATGTCTTTTAAATCCCTTTTTTACCCAAAATCATGGGGAAGCTTCCTGCTTTTAAAAATAATAAAAATAATGAAATTATAATAAAATGCAATATTATTATTTCTAAAATATTTTAAGTGCTAGTGTACTAATCAGATTAATAAATTAGGGGTTTTACCAGGTGGAGATATTTTTTCTAAAAATGATCTCCATTCACATTTTAAAATATCATTTTTTAGAGCAAAATGTGAGACCAGCTGCAGTATTCAGCTCAGAAACGTGGCCAGAGCTGTGAGCATCTGAAATGTTAAAATTAGATCTAATTCAAGACAGTGTCACATATTTAAAGACTTGGTTTTTAGCTGAAAAATACATCTTAAACATGAACATGGCTTTTAAAATACTGCAAACAATTTGTTCTGGTAATGATGCAGAGCTGTGGAAAAGCAAGCTTGGCATGGAATGGTTCACAACACAGAAAATGAAAATATCTGAGTGTCTGGCCTTGGAGCTGCTCTTGCAAACCAGGCAGAAAACAGGGATTAAGGAGTGAAAAGAGCAGTTTGTTTTGCACCATAATTCAGGTTAACCCTGCAGGGCCCAGGCTGTTGTGTGTTCCTGCCTCCTAAAAGCAGCAATTGCAGGATTTGGGCTTGGGATTGAAATGCTGCAGCTTTTACTGTGAGGAAAGGGAAATAATTGTGAGTTAGTGTTTGTATTATGAAATGTTTGGGGTCAGAATTGATGAGAGAAGCTCCAGATTTGTTTGTTTAATTCAGTTATTGTGCTGTGGCTTTTCATGCCAAGCTCCCTGCACTCCCTGGGCAGTGTCTGGTGGTGCAGCTTTCCCTCTTCATTCCTCCTGACTTTTTTCCATTTATATTTTTCCCCTCCCAATTAGGTGATTTGACTGAAGATCCAAAATTCCCCAAAGTTCAGTGGCCAACTCCAGACATTTGTCCTGCATGTCATGAAGAAGTCAAAGGGCTGCACAGCTGGAATGAAGACCAAGTCCTGCAATTCCTGAAATCCCACTACAGCAGTGAAAACATCCTCTATAAATACACCCAGAGCCAGACTGACCCCAGTGACAACGAGCAGGGAGACACGAGGGAGGTGAAAGACAAAAACCTGCAGAAGAACTCGGGGAGAAATGGAGAAAACAAGCTCCAGGATAAGGAGAACCCAGGAGATCCAGGCTCCAAGGCGCTGGAGAATCCAATGGGAAATCCTGGAGCTGTCCAAGGTAGCGGCAAAAACGCAGCTGCATCCGTGAGCCTCAAAGGGACCAGGCAGGCTGTGTCCTTCCTGGGGATTGGATTTTCCAACCTCGACATGAGTCTGTGTGTCATCCTCTACGTGGCATCCTCCTTGTTTTTAATGATCATGTACTTTTTTTTCCGGGTGAGGTCCAAGCGCTGGAAAGTGAAGTCTCACCGCTCCTCGGTCTAGGAGTTCTCGCTGTTCGTGGCTGTTGGGTCCCAGACACAGCTTTAATATTTATGATCAGGGATTTTATATGCAGTATTCCTTGGGTCAGGCCCCTTTCTTCCCGAGGCATTTCCCAGGTGTTCAGCTGAACAGGTGGAGCTGGCCTTGAGATCCCCAGGCTTTGCCCAAGGCCACGTCAATGTCCTCACCCGGGAGCGTTGCATTTGGCAGTTGAGGTTTTTCCATCACTTCCCACCAACATCCTTTACTCATTTCCAGAGTAAACATTGCATTATGCAATCCACTGTGCCTGCTGGAGAAGGAAATTGGATATTGTTTTGTGTATTTTCAAGTCAGGTGTTATTTTTTTTTTAATTCATCCCGAGCTGATTTCACCTCCCTGAGTGCTGAATGGTACCTTGGCTGCTTCACTGGGAGAAGCAGGAATTCTGATGTTTCTTTTCAGGAAACATGAGTTCTCTTTTGATTAAATCAATTCTAAACCTCTGTGACTTTCTGAAATGTTATTTACATATTTAAAATAGGAAGCATTTAATGTTCAAATCGTTCATCCATTCTCTGGTGCGTTCCAGCCAAGGATGTGCATGTGTCATCACTAGGATGAGAGTTTTGGGGCACAATTAGCAGCCTGATGCTGATTGCTAAGTAATTATGGTATTATCCAGGTGGAAACCAATCCTGATGAACTCTAGGAAAGGAAAACAATGTTTTTACTGAAGGACAGCAAGGTTTGTGTTACCGTGGCAGAACAGATTGGAAAATTACAAATACTGAGTTTCTTCTCTTGAATTTCTCCATCACAAGAGAGCAATTAACACTTCCCTTGGTATTTCCACCCAGAGCTGCTCTGTTCTGGGATGTCCAGTTCCCTCTAGAGCTCAGTGTGGGTACTTAGAGCAGCAGTGAGAAGAAATCATGAAAACATTACAAAATCATCCTTGGGAGTAGGAGTTGCAGTGATCCTGGCTGGGGGGGATAATTCACGTCCTGGATAGTGAAGTTTATAATCCTATCCAATGTAATTGAGCATGTTCTAGTTATCCATTACCTAATCTTTAGTTAATCCTAATAGGTTTTGGCCTCAATGTTTTCTCGTGGCAGTGAGTTCTCCAGATTAATTATGTTATATAAAAGGGCTTTTCCTTTCAATTCTACATTTGCAACTTTTAATTTAATTGAATGTTTGCTGGCTCCTCTGTTACACGAGAAGGAATAAGGAGTGCCTGGCCAGTTCCCTGGATTTATACCATTGGTGTGTCCTCCTCTGAGGAGAAAGAGAAAAGTTTAGAAAGTTTGAAGCCTGGCAACAAAAAAGCACCTAAACTCCACAGGGTTATTTTTTCATAATCAAACATTGGTTGTGCACAAAACTGAGTATTTCTGACGTGTCTCTGCAGCTTCCAGCTGGAATGACATAGCTGAGCTGCAAAGATTCACTGCTTGTAGCTGAAGTTTCTCACAGTAACACTACAGTTCCACACAGAGGAGCAGCTTTCTGGGGCTGCTGTGAGCAGAGGAAGAAATCTCAGGACCCTCAGAATTCCAGAGTTCTGGCAGAAGGAACCATCCTGGGTCTTTCCTCTTGGCCCTTTGTAATTCATGGAGCTTTCTTTGCTCTTGGATGTTTTCAAACAGGAAATATTAAAATAAAAGGAATAGAATGGACCAGGAGAGAGAAAAGCTGCAAGTGCTAAAGAAACCTGATGAAGTTATTTGTGAGAACTCCTAATTTTCTGTTTCCAGCAGTGCACCCACCCTGCTGTTCCTGCACAGAACTGGATGGGAACAAAGGTCCCAGGTGTGGTGTTGCACATGAGGTGTTAAAAATAGTGACAGTACCATTTCAGTAATTTAAATGTTCTATTTATTTGAAGTCAATAACTTGACATTTCCAAGTCTGTTCTGGTTGGGTTGGTTTTTTTCTGTCTCATTCCTCTCTTGGAAGGAAAAGTGACTGTTTTGTACTAAATTGTAAATTAATGTGCTTGTTTAAAATAAACTGCAAACGTTTGGGCAAAGTGGATGCATTTGGGCTTTTTATCTGTGTTTGCAAATTGTTTTGAGATGAACTTTATTGCCAGGACAGCTCCTGAACGTGTCCATGATCAACCACACCCATCCTCTTGGGGAGGTGTATTTTTAAGCTCAGACTTCTCAGGAGCTGCTAAAGAATCTGAACGAGGGAAGAGAAAATAAACCAGGAAGAAACAAATGTTTGAGCGGGTTGGTTTTTATTAATGGTTTTTTTTTATTAATGGCAGAAGCCCAAGTGAGGGAGGCCATGGGCAGGTCTGGTGCCTGCTGGCCCTGAGCAGGAGGGCACAGGAGGGGGTGCAGGGAGAGATCAGCACAAGAACCTTTGGGGGGTCCTGGATGTCACAGCGTGAGAGAGCAGGGGGCTGGCAGGTGCCACTGCTGGTCCTGGTGGGACACAGCCCCTGGCTCTGTCCTGGTGGGACACAGCCCATGGCTCTGAGTGGGACACAGCCCCTGCCCTCTGTCCTGATGGGTCACATCCCCTGCCCTCTGTCACAGCCCCTGCCTTCTGTCCTGAGTGTGACACAGCCCTGGCTCTGTCCTGATGGGTGAGGGGGTGCAGGGAGAGATCAGCACAAGAACCTTTGGGGGGTCCTGGATGTCACAGCGTGAGAGAGCAGGGGGCTGGCAGGTGCCACTGCTGGTCCTGATGGGACACAGCCCCTGGCTCTGTCCTGAGTGTGACACATCCCCTGCTCTCTCTCCTGAGTGGGACACAGCTCCTGCCCTCTGTCCTGATGGGTCACATCCCCTGGCTCTGTCCTGAGTGGGACACAGCTCCTGCCCTCTGTCCTGAGTGGGGCACAGCTCCTGCTCTCTGTCACAGCCCCTGGCTCTGTTCTGAATGTGACACATCCCCTGGCTCTCTCCTGAGTGAGACTCAGCCCTGGCTCTGTCCTGATGGAGCACAGCCCCTGCCCTCTGTCCCAGCCCCTGCCCTCCCTCCTGCCCGGCCACAGCTGCCCCACCCCTGCCCTGTGCCCGGAGGAACGGGCACCACCACACACGGGTTTGCTCAAAGTGCTTCCTTAGAGGCTCAGATTAAAAATCCACTTTAAAACCGAGTTTAAAAGGGACGGTGTGGGCGATCAGCTGTCCCCAGAAGGTGTTCACGGCCCTGGGGAGGTGCTGGTGCCACCCGGTGTCACTGCTCACGGTACCGGTCCCACTCGGGCAGGACCTGGACCCCAAATCCCGCCTGGCGTTCCTGGGTGCTTTATTGGGGACCCCAGCCCTGGTCCCAGAGTGTGTCCCTGCCTTTCCCAGCCTCACAGGGCTGAGCTGTCCCGCACACTGGAGCCTGTCCCCGGCCCGATCCAGGGCCAGCCCCGCAGGGCCCGGAGGAGGGGAGGGTGCTCTGGGGTGGGTGCCTGGGTCCGGGGCTCGCCGGGGGCTCCACGGCCGCCCCCAGGAGCGGGCGAAAGTCCCGGTGCCGCCGTCGGCAGGAGCATATGTGAGTTTGGAGGCTCCCGCCCCTAAGCTGCTTTTATTAATTTGTAATCCCCTGCGAGCAGGAGGTAAAGGGATTCGGGGGATTAACGGGCTCACAGTAACAACCACAATTATCAGCCGCGGCTGCCTGCGGCAAGCGGTGCGCACACGCTGGGGCTCCCCCGGACAAACACGGCCCTGGCAGCGCCCCGGGAACCGAGGTGCCGTGGGACAGGACACAGGCACCGGCTGCGGGCAGGGGAACACGCACCCCGCACCTGTGTGCACGGCCAGAGCCCGGGGAAAAAACCCGCACGGCCCCGGGGGAAAACCCTGCACGGTCCGGGGAAAAAAACCCGCACGGCCCCGGGGAAAAAACCCGCACGGCCCCGGGGAAAAACCCTGCACGGTCCGGGGAAAAAAAACCCGCACAGCCCCGGGGATAACCCCGCACGGCCCCGGGGAAAAAACCCGCACGGCCCCGGAGGAAAAATCCCGCACGGCCCCGGGGAAAAAACCCGCACGGCCCCGGGGAAAAAACCCGCACGGCCCCGGGGGAAAAACCCGCACGGCCCCGGGGGAAAAACCCGCACGGCCCCGGGGGAAAAACCCGCACGGCCCCGGGGGAAAAACCCGCACGGCCCCGGGGGAAAAACCCGCACGGCCCCGGGGGAAAAACCCGCACGGCCCCGGGGGAAAAACCCGCACGGCCCCGGGGGAAAAACCCGCACGGCCCCGGGGGAAAAACCCGCACGGCCCCGGGGGAAAAACCCGCACGGCCCCGGGGGAAAACCCTGCACGGTCCGGGGAAAAAAACCCGCACGGCCCCGGGGAAAAAACCCGCACGGCCCCGGGGAAAAACCCTGCACGGTCCGGGGAAAAAAAACCCGCACAGCCCCGGGGATAACCCCGCACGGCCCCGGGGGAAAACCCTGCACGGTCCGGGGAAAAAAACCCGCACGGCCCCGGGGGAAAAACCCGCACGGCCCCGGGGGAAAAACCCGCACGGCCCCGGGGGAAAAACCCCGCATGGCCCCGGGGAAAAACCCCGCACGGCCCCGCGTGTTCCGCACACGCACACTCCGTCCGTGTCCGCCCCGTCTTCAATTAGCGCAATTAACCTCCCGCAGCCGCCGCACGCTTCTGGCCGCGGGTCAGGCACCCGCTACCTCTCTGGTTTTTTAATTAATTAGCGGCGGGGGAAAAGCCCCCCGCTGCCCACGGGCGGCGTCGGGGGAGCCCCGCACCGCGGGCACAAACGAAATCTGGGCTCGGGGGCGGCCGGCGGGCAGCCGGGCCCGGGCGGAGGCTCCCCCCGACGGCGGCTCCCCCGACCCCCTTCGTGCGGCCGCCGGGGGCTTCACGGGGGCCGCAGCCCGAGCCCCCGCGCCGGGCGCGGCCACGCGTGGGACGGCGGGACGCCCCTCCGCGCTCTCCGCCACTCCTCCGCAGCCACCCGCGCACTTCGGACGGCGCCCACGGAGGCCGCGATGCTGCTGGAGCGGGTCCGCGCCGGTTCCGAGAAGGCAGCGGAGCTCTGCCCCTTCCCGCGGAGCCCAGGTGAGGGGGAGGCGCGCAGATCCCCGCGTCCCCCCGCGGAGGCAGCGGCGGCTGCTCTGGGAGCCCCGGGCCCGGCCGAGCTCCGTCTGTGTCCCGGGGGCACCGTCGGGGCCGCGTCGGGGCTGCCTGCGGGGAAGGGTCCCGGTCCATCCCGCCCGCCCCGCGCTCTCTCTCGCTCTCTTCTCCCTCGTCCCCGATTTCAGAGCCCCCCTCGCTGCCCCCCGTGCGCTGCCGGCTCAGGTCCCCGTCCATCCCGGGGAAAAGCGGCGCTCACGGAGCTCTGCCCTGCCCGGCGGAGCGGCAGCTCCTGCCCCGGGGTCCCGCCGCTCCCCGCTCAACGAGGACAGGGACGGAACGGGGACCTCCCGGTGCCCGACGGTTCCCTCCGACTGCGGGGACCCCCCGCGCCCCCCTGCCCGGCTCCCACGCGGCTTTTCCCCCGCTTTAGAGAAACTCCGTTAATTCTTCTCTTAAACGTTATTTCGTCCCGTTGAACGAACGGGGCCAGCCCTGGCGGGGCGGGAGAACCGGGCTGCGCTCGCCCGGTGTGACCGGGGCTCAACGGGGCAGCCCGAGCCGCCTTCGGGGCAGCGGGTCCGGTCCCGCAGCGGGGCCGTCTCGGTTCTTATCAACAGCGAAAGCTGTCGATGGGGCTTAAAAAAAGAGAATCAACGACGAGCCGGGGCGGGGGCCTCGCCGGTGTGCGGGGACAGAGGTGTCACCGTGAGCGGGACCGACCGCGCGGCTCCGCACCCGCCGTGAGCGGGCCGGTGCCCCCGGTCCTTCCCCGGTTCGCCTTCCCCTGGCTGTCCCCGTGGGCTCTCCGCGGCCCGCGTTGGACCCGGAGCAACAGGGAGCTGCTCGTGCTCCGCAGGGGCGGAGGCGACATCGCCGAAATCGATCCCCCGGTAGGACGAGGGACGCGCAAACTCCTTTTTCCCGCAGGACGCGACGCTCGTTCACGGCCCCGCGGTCCTGCGCTCCGTCGGGGCCGCGGAGGCAGCGGGAAGGGCTCGGCGTGGCTTACCGTGGCCGAGGGCCGGTCCCGGGGTGGGGGGCGAACAGTGGGGTGCTTTACCCGTGCCGGGGCAAATCCCGGGGTTTGCGGCTCGCTGCCTCCCCCGGCGCGGCCCCCGCCCGCCGCCGGCCCCGTCGGGGCTCCTTTGCGGGCCCCGGGGCCGCGTCCCTCCCGCCGAGCGCGGCCGGGAAGGGGCGGCGGGAGGGGATGAGCGCCGGCCCCGGGGGCGGGGGGGATTAAATACAGCGCCGTGCCCTCCCTGCCCGGCGCTTCAGAGCGGCACCGGCGGCGGGGGCCGGCGTCTAAAAATAACCCGCTTTAGCGAATTAAATCCGCGGCTCCCAGAGCGGGGCACGGCGGCCGCTGGGTTTTGGGGGGGCTCCCGGCGGGGGGAGAGCGGAGGCTCCGCGCCCCGCGGAAGATGCGCCAGAGCCCGCGGCCCGCCTGAGGGAGCGGAGCTGCCGCGGATCGCCATGCAGCGTAAGAGCCGCGGAGCGGGCCGGACCGGGACAGTGCCGGGCTGTGCCGTGCTGCCGTGCCCGCCGCCGGAGCTCCGTCCCGGCCGGGGCCGCCGCCTTTAGCGCTGCCTCTCTTGGGGTTGTTTTTTTGGGCGCGGTGAATTGTTGAGGATAACAATTATCACCTCCACCTCTCACCCCTGTGCACGGCGATCCAGCGCCTATATCTACATGGAATATCTTTACATGGAAATACTGTCGTGTCCGTACCCATCTGTTCCTGTACAGCTGTGTCATACATCTCTCTGCCTCTATTTGTACCGATATATCTGTATTTATGTACCTCATATCCATATTTTCACCTGCTTATCTCTATCTATACCTTTATACTGAAATCTATATATTTATGTCTATATATCTGTACATTTCGTTCTCTGTCTGCTGTATCTGTTTATTTTTATATCTCTATTTCTCCATAGCTGTATCCTTATCTCTTTCTGTGTAATCTCTGTCGATGTCTAGAGGGGGACGGGACAAGACTGCCGCGTTTTTATATTCAGGGCAATTCTCGTAATTTTTGGTAGTTTCTTTCCCCACTCCGTTCGGGCTACCCTGCCGTTGCTTGCAGGTGGATTTTGGAAGTTTAGGAAAAGGAAAAAGAGCCTGTGATAATTACAGCTTTGCCGGCGGCTCGCTCGGGGGGTTGATTCCGTTTCCATCACTTCCCTTCTTGTTTATCCCGGGCACTTCTCCCGGAGTGTGCTCGGCTCGGGCGTTCGCTGCTCTCCACGATGCCGTGACAACGAATTTGAACGAATAATGCTTTTTTCCGTGGTGCTCCTCGGGCCACCCCCGCGTCCGTTGTCGGTCGGTGGCAGCCCCGGGGCGGCGGGCCGGGCCGGGCCGGGCCGGGCCGGGCCACCGATGCTGACGGGGGCTGCCTCCCCGCAGAGATCCCGCTGTGCGCCGGCTGCAACCAGCACATCGTGGACAGGTTCATCCTCAAAGTCCTGGACCGGCACTGGCACAGCAAGTGCCTGAAATGCTCCGACTGCCAGACGCAGCTGGCCGAGAAGTGCTTCAGCCGCGGGGACGGCGTCTACTGCAAGGAAGACTTCTTCAAGTGCGTGGGGAGGGGTCGGGGGGCGGCCGGGGCCGGGCGGGTGTCGCGGCCCGGGCGCGTTTGGGGTTCAGCACCGGGACAGCGGCACCGGAGCAGCACCGCGGACAGCGCCGGGCCCGGCGGGGAACGCGCCCGGGACCGTGCCCTGGACCGTGCCCGGGACCGTGCCCGGCGGGGACAGTGCCCGGCGGGGACCGTGCCCGGGACCGTGCCCGGCGGGGACCGTGCCCGGCTCAGCGGCCGCCGCTTGTCCCCCATGCTCAGGCGCTTCGGGACGAAGTGTGCCGCCTGCCAGCAGGGCATCCCCCCGACCCAGGTGGTGCGCCGGGCCCAGGACTTCGTTTACCACCTGCACTGCTTCGCCTGCATCGTCTGCAAGCGGCAGCTGGCCACCGGCGACGAGTTCTACCTCATGGAGGACAGCAGGCTGGTCTGCAAGGCGGACTACGAGACGGCCAAGCAGAGAGGTACCCCTGGCCCCGTCCCTTCCACCCCCGGGGCAGCAGGGGGGCTGCTGCCCCCCGGGACAGGCTTACACAGCGGGCGGGAGGGTGCCGGGACTGCCCGGGGAGGGTCGGGGGTCCCTAACTCGCCCCGTGTCGGCAGAGGCTGAGTCTACGGCCAAGAGGCCCCGCACCACCATCACGGCCAAGCAGCTGGAGACGCTCAAAAACGCTTATAACAACTCGCCCAAACCGGCGCGGCACGTCCGGGAGCAGCTCTCGTCGGAGACGGGGCTGGACATGCGGGTGGTGCAGGTGAGAGCGGGGCCGGGCCGGGCCGGGCCGGGCCGGGCCGGGCCCGGGGAGCGCGGCGGGCGGGGGGCGGCCCCGCAGCCCCGAGCTCCCCGGCGTGCCCCGCTCGCAGGTCTGGTTCCAGAACCGCCGGGCCAAGGAGAAAAGGCTGAAGAAGGACGCGGGGAGGCAGCGGTGGGGGCAGTACTTCAGGAACATGAAGCGATCCCGGGGGACATCCAAGTCCGACAAGGACAGCATCCAGGAGGAGGGGCCCGACAGCGACGCCGAGGTTTCCTTCACAGGTCGGTGCCCGCAGCCCCAGCCGGGCTTTGCGAGCTCGGGCTGTGCCCTCCTGCCGTGGCCCGGCTGCTGCCAGCCCCTCGGGGCCGCGGTCGGAATTTGCGGCAATAAACAGCGGGTGACACCGAGCGGGAGAAGGGCAGAGCGGCAAGGGATGGGATTCACCGGGGGAGGAACCGAGGGGCAGCCGGGCCCGAGAAGGGCGGGGGAAGCTCGGCTCTGCGGTGCCAGAGCCGCTGCTCAAACACGGCCTTTTCTCGGAAATACAAAAACCGGGAAGCCCAGAACCTCAATGTTTCTATGGGAAAAAGAGTGCAATTTTTTTTCTTTAACATATATTTTTTTAGTCTTATTTAGGGATGGTTTTATTTGTGCAGTCTTATGCAAAAACCGGGAAGCCCAGAACCACAATGTATCTATGGGAAAAAGAGTGCGATTTTTTTCTTTAATATATTTTTTTTTAGTCTTATTTAGGGATGGTTTTATTTGTGCAGTCTTATGGGAGCTGTTCCTGTGCTGCAAAAAGGAAATTGTTGCCTGTTAGGCGGCTTCTGCAGCACAGTGTCCCCTTTTTGTCCCCTTTTTGGTGACAAACCCAGAGCAGACCAAGAGCAGCTCACCCCGCACTCTCCAGACCTGCAGGGGCAGGGACAGGGCCCCGGGCAGGGTTACATTTGCAGGAACATGTTCTACACAATCCCAGCTCCACTCCAAATTTTTGTATCATTTTTAGGAGTGGGAGAGAAACTGAAATGTAAACCTCTGTGTATATTTACACAGACTGTGGACTTATAAACACACACTTTTTCATCTCAGCTCCTCTGCCGTGCTCCTAAAAACTATTTGATTTTCGAGTCTGTTTATGCACACTGTGTATCAGCTCATTAAATATGAATAGTCTATAAATAATAACTAAAAAATGTCGAACAATTATTGAGAGCTCGATGCCACAAACAGGTTTGTATCCCTGGCAACAGAGTAGATCTCACTGCCCAGAAAGCCACCAACGAACACAAACAATTTTTGCTGGGAACTTTAAAAATATTGCTCATTTTTCAGGAGTGTTTTAAGCCATACAAATACATTCTCTGCTCCTGTGTTTTCATTAGCCTGTTCCTGAGCAGACAAATATCTTAATTTAATATCTCTTTTCCTGAGCAATGGGGAATTTATCTTACATTGGTTCAGGTAACTCCTAAAAGTGATATCAAAATTCAAAACACCAAACCAATTCAATAAACCTCAAAACCAAATAGAAACAAAGGGTGGAAAGGCATTCAATTCACTTCCCCTCTAAAGAATTATTTTTAAATCACAGTTTTATATTTTAATATGTACTTTTCATGCATATTTTTAAAATACAAGACATATTAGATGTTTGTACTGAGGAAAAAAAATAATAATCCCATGGCTGCCTATGAAGATTTATCAACAAGGATGGGAATAATAAGGAATTACAAATGGAAGAGTGTGACTGCTCAGCTCCCATCCTTTTAATCTATTTATACCCGGAGTTTTCCGGAATTCCTGGGTGACCATCCAGTAAAACCTCTCCTTTTCCCTTGCAGACGAGCCCTCCATGTCCGAGATGAGCCATTCCAACGGGATTTACAGCGGCCTGAGCGAAGCGTCGCCGGCGCTGGCGCGGCAGGCTGGCACCACCGGGAGCTTTGCCCTGGAGCACAGCGGGCTGCCAGCTCAGGACCAGTACCACGACCTGCGCCCCGCCAGCCCCTACGGCATCCCCCCGTCCCCGGCGTCCCTGCAGGCACTGCCAGGCCACCAGCCCTTAATCTCCAGCTTGGTTTACCCAGACAACGCCTTGGCCATCATGGGACAGAGCGGAGCAGGCGTGCCCCAGCCCATGAGGGTGCTGGCGGGGAATGGACCAAGCTCCGACCTCTCCACCGGCAGCAGTGGGGGGTACCCGGATTTCCCGGCCAGCCCGGCCTCCTGGCTGGATGAGGTCGACCACGCTCAGTTTTGATACAGGGGACACCCCCAGGCAGTGGGAAGGGGAAGGACTCGGTGCCGTGAAGTGTCACCTGCTCTTGGAAAGGACAAGCCGTGAGTGCCGAGCGGGGCAGGAACGTGGCACGGGGATTTCGGAGATGACCCTGGCATGGTGGTGCTGATAAAGGCCCTGGCACTGCAACCACTGGCACCCGGAGCGTCCCAACAAACTGATTCTCGTGTCTTTACCAAACACCAAGACTTGTGCTTTCCAGATTTGGTCTGAGGTATTTCGCGTTTTGTTGTCGGTGCATTCTCCGAAGCAAGGACTTGCTCCGTCACCCATCCACACCGAAACATTTTTAAGGGAAAATAAAATCCTCATCCACGGTGAAAGGTGTGACAATGTCTATATTTCTATAGGAGAAATGTTCATAGTGAATCACTTCAGAAATCCATGGTAGGAAACTTCTCTGTTCTTCCAACAGATGTTTTAAAAGTGCACCAATGCGGTATGTTTTGTTTTACTTTGAATTTACATCCACTTTTCTAAAACGAAATTCTCTTTAATATGCCAATCATTTATCAACAGCCCTTTTCCTTTGTAAAATGAAAATCATTTGTTAATTCTGCTTCTCCCCTTTTTAATTTGTAGATTGCTAGGTTGACTCTTCCATATAAGCATTAAACCGTGAATAGATGTATTTATTACCAAGTAATTCCACGTTTATCACGAGGTCAAGAGGTGAATTTTCTTGACCCAGGGCCACCGGTGGTGGATCTGGGTTGTGGATCTTATGCTTTTCCTTGAAATTTCTTTGTATCAGTTTTACTGCAAAGTGTCTCAAAAATCACCCTGATGTCTTGTTGCCAAAAACCTTCTCGGGGTTTCGGGTTTGAGACGAGCCCTTCCCCAGGCACTGCTGGAGGGAGCACCCCCTTCCCTGGGGACACGTCCCTGCTCCAGGCATTTGTGTATTTCCACAGATATCGTGCAAGCTGATTGTGAGGAAAGGCAAGACAATATGTATATTGTTATCTGTAAAAATTATGGAATTAACTGTAGATTATGTGGATGTCCAGTGTCTTTTATTTATATTCTCGCTCTCTCTGATGATCAAATACTTCAAGATTACAAATAAATTTGTCAGCTAAACTTTACATAGTGTTTTGATAAATTCACATCAATATCAGTAAATAAAACACCTGAAACTCAAAGCTCTTAAAACTCGATGCCATGATTGAACAAAGTGTTGAAATATTCCCTTTCAATAGCGGAGCAAACTCTCTATTGTAGAGGATTGAAACATAGAAATGTAGAAATGCTTTGGAACAAAAAAAAAAATGAGGACATGGGAGGCTGGCAGCCCTTGGGAGAACAGGATTGCTCTGGCTTTGATCATATTTTTGATGGGACATTGTTATTTTTCAATATTTGTGGCAAAGCAACAGGAAACAGCAACAGGAAATAGTCTGATGTTGTCTGTCTGCAGAAAGTTGTGAATGTGAAACACGGATATGTAAATATTTCAACCAGAAAGAAAGGGAAAAAATTCCTAAGGGAGTCAGTTTGACCAAATATTTATATTTATATTTATATTTATATTTATATTTATATTTACACATGAATACAAATCCAAAGAAGCACACACATCCACGTGCCCACGGTCACACTGCTGGGGCACAGTGCAGGGCCGTGCTGAGCTCTCTGCTTCGAGGATCTGAGGACAGACACTCTTTAACACTCCTGAGCTCTGAGGTTCTCGCTCCTGGGGAAGTCAGGAGTATTTGCATCGAGATTTTCCACGTGAGAGCAGCAGCACAGCCTGGGATGGTGCCCTGGTTCCTGCGGGTGCCCTGCGGGCTGCCAGCGCCTGGCACGGCCCCCGTGCCCCAGGGTCACCTGGAGCATCCTGGATTTTATTCCTCACCTTTTCCAAGGGACACGTGGGCAGTTTGAGGGCTGTGCTGCCCACGATGCCCTCGCCCCCTCCTTCCTTCCCTCCTGGCACCCAGGTTCTGCTCTCAGGGAGCACAAGGAGCCTGCCCGAAGCACAGCAGGTCCATGGGCACGGCTTTAGGGAAGAACTGCTCATCCAACAGAGAAATTCCTTTTTCACTGCAGCAGATTCACTCCGAGAGCCATAGCAGGGACAGGAGAAACCCCAGGAAAAAAATTGTGCTCAGTTCTGAGCTCCCGAGTGCAGAGCTGGGCTCGGCAGCTTCTCCTTCCTTCTCCAGAAGTGAATAATAAAGAGACAACTGTTGCTGCCAGCCTGTAGTTACACCACAGGGACATTTCTTACGGAGTAAATAGAAAATTGTGGGATTTAAAAGAAGCAGACTGCAGAACTTCACTGAAAGAGAAAAGAGGAGTTTGTATTTTCAAGAATTCTATGTCTAGAAATGCCCTCAGCAAATCTGGGAAAGTGTTTTGCATCAAAATATTTTGGCAGTTCAAGTATTCATAATATTTTCATATAAAAGGCTAAAAAAATACTTTGAAATACTCTTATTTCCTAAAAATTAAGAATTAACAACAGAAAGGCAGAAATGCAGTTGGTTTTAGGATAATTCTGTTGTTATAAAAACAGTCTAATAACTGTAGTAATCAAACCTGTGTTTTATAGATATTTTTCTCATTGTTTCCCTCCCAGTAAATAACGGGTGCTGTTGTTCCTCTGCCCCTGGGAATTCCCAGGGGACGGCTGAATTTAAGAAAGGAAGAAATGCAAATCTCCCCCTGCCTTTGTGCTTTGCTCAGAAAGGCAGAACAGGGCTGGAAGATGCTGCTCTGAGCAGGGAGAAGAGCTCTGAGTGTCCTGAGCTCAAATTCAGGGATTGCATTTCAGCCTCTCCTTTCAGGGCCGAGGCTCAAGGATTCCATTAATATAAATGCTTTCTTCCCGTTAAAAAGAAAACCAATTTGAAAGAGGCAAATAAAACTAACACTGTCCAACTGGCTGACAGCTTGTAAAACCCAGGCAGAGTTAGGAAGAGGAGGTTTGCACTGCTCAATTTGCAGGTGGCTTTACAGCCTCCACTGATTTCCATCAGTTCATGACATGGGAGGCAGGAAATTTTTTGTCTTATCAATGAGGAAAATCTACTGTATCGATTTTTTTTTCCCTCCAAACAGCATATTCACCTTTGTGCCTAAACTTGTGTTCCCTACAGAAATATTTAGATCTTATGCCAAATAGTAGAAGCAGTGTATTTTTTTTTTCTTATTTGGATTTCCCATGTGAGGCCAATGAAACCAAGCCCCTCATGCCCAGGGGACAGACACCTCCTCTCCTACCCAGTCTGATCCAGGGGAGGAGGTGACAAAAGGGGGTCAAGAGTTTTGTCACGGAGCTTGGGGACCTCAGTGCCCCTTTTGGGGGTGTGGGCCAGGTGAAGCCTCTCATCCACAGGGAGCAGGGGAGGTGGACACGGCCAGCTCATCCTCAGGTCCCTTTGGTGGCTTCTCCCAGATGTATCAGAGTATCTGAGCAGAGGTGTTCCCACTGCCTTCATGTCCTGCTGGGCCTCCCCCTGCCCAAATCACCATCCTCAGGAACAAGGCAGGAAAACCTCTGGAACCTCCTCCTGGAGCTCAGGCAGAGCTGCTGGGTAGCACGAGGGAGAGTCCCAGAGATTTGGTCTCAGTAAATATTCCAGCAAAGATGCTGCCTGTTAACAGGAAACTTCATCACCAGCCGCCCACACATCAGCAAAAGCAAATTCCACACGTTTTTATCTCCCTGGTTCTTCTTCCACTGAGCTCTGAGGAGTGTCCCTGTCTCTCCAGGGAGGGCAGAGCCAGTGTCAGGCTGGACACAAGTCCTGCATCCCACTCCCACCCAGGCCCTGGCCTCTTCCAGCGCCTCTGCAGAGCCTGGAAAAAGGCTCCGAGTCAGCTGGAGGCGAGTAAATCATTCCTGACAGCTACATCTCTACAGGGCAGTTAGAATTAATGTAACAATTTGGCGTTTAATGAAGCAACAACATGCTGGGCTGCAGAGAATAGCTGGGACCTGCTGCAGTCATCTCATAATCCCTGAGGGACCCAAACGGCAGCGGCTCCGTCAGATGCCGGCTTGTCAGGCTGAGCAAACGGCCGGGAGGGGACAGCGAGGGACAGCGGAGTGGCCGGGAGCTGGCAGCCCCTCCAGCTGGGGGACAGCCAGCATCCGGCAGCTGAGCACGGCCCCTCTCGGGAGCCTGGAGCCCAAATCCCCTGTGCTCCAGGCTGGGCTCAGCTCTGGGCAGCGGGAGCATCCCCTGGGCATTGCCTGCCCAGCTCTGGGGGAGTGCCGGGCCTCAGCGGGGTCACAGAGATGCTGAAAAATGTTGTTGTGTAAAAAAATATTTTGTGGAGCTTGTCTAAGAGTAGAGAACCACATCAGCATTGGAGGGGGGAACTGGCAGAACAATGTTTCCTAAATAAAAACCAGCTCGATCAGGCGCTCTGCACCCCAAAGGCAGATTTCTGCACAAGTTGCAGGTATTCAGCCCTTTGCAGGATAAGGCCTTTTAAAAACACTCCCTGCACGGAGGAGGGGGAGAGGGGAATGAATGCAAATGACTTTGGAGACAATCTCCCATTTCCCGTGTATATACACACGCTCTCAAAGCACTGCAGGCTGCAGCAGCTTGGATGCTTTAAAATAAATCATGCGGCGCTTTTTTTTTTTTTTGCTTGCTTGCTTTTAAATGAAAGCACAGCACAAAACAACATCCCCTCAGTCCCAACCCATCCGTGCTGGAGCTCCTCTCTGGGGCTGGCTGGTGTGTGTGTGGCCATAAACCTCCCCAGTTTTGTTGGGAAGCCTCACGGTCAGCGGCTTTAAGGGCTTGACAGGTTTATAAAGTGCTGAGTGTCCCCCAGGGACGGCGGCACTGTTTGCAGGGAAGATGAAGCGTGCCATATCCAGCTGGTCTAACAAGGCAGCGGGAAATCTAAATTAATTCAGGAATCACTTCTGTTTTGCCCGGGGAGGATGTTGTTCTCAATCTATGGAAGCAGCCCATTGGAATACTCATTAACAGCAGGGATGGAGTGCAAGGCCAGGCTCCCCTCAC